TATCCGGCTTGAGACTTTCTCAATAATCTTCATCTCGTTTTCTCTTTTTACTTTTTTTGACTACCGGATAGATGTTTAGGACCCATAGCTATTGAATTATTTCTGAAATAAAATTCAAATTCATAAATTTTACTACTTAGTAAAATCAAATATGGAAAAGCAATCAGATAAATTCATATATCATAAACTCATATCAATTGATTCAATTCATCATTTTTTCAGTTTTTTTCTTTTTCAGTTTTTAGTCTTTTTATATACTCCGTATATATCTTAAATTCATGTCAATTTGTCAGTTTTTCAGTTTTTTTTAGTTTTTCAGTTTTCAGAGTTTTTTTATATATATCATAAATTCAAATCAATTCATCCAAATCAAATAAAGAATATATGGAACCATTAATTCATTCATATTTCATAGCAATTAGCAAAGATTTCAAACTAAAAAATAATAATTAACCCTAGATTATAAATCCAAAGAATGAAACAATGAAAGAAAGAAAATTAGAAAAAAATTACTAAATTAGAAAGATAGTGAATATGGAATACCTGGAGGGTGCAGCGGCGTCTGGAGGCAGCGGTGGCGGCGTCTCTCTACCGGCGGCGTTCTCAGCAGTCGGCACTCCCTTTCCGATTCGGTTTGGGCAGTAGCTACGTCTCCAGCTTCTACGCCTCGCGTTAGTTGTCTGTAGGAAGGGATGGGGCGGTTAATGAGATGGGCTTTTGACATATTGGGCTGGGTGCTGGGCTTCTTATATACATACATATAATATTAAAAAATAATTGAACCCCTTATAATCATGGGTCTCCCTCTATTGGGCCGGCTCTGGAGCAAATTGTAGATTACCATTCATACATCACTTCTTGTGAGATGACCTTGTCCCCTTCATCAATAAAGTTAATCATATCAGGGAACTCTTGTTGTACTTGTACCTCCACTTATACCGACCTGACGCGAACCGATTATAACATATATCCGAAAGTGAGTCCAGTCATTGGATATACTCTTCCTCCCTAAGAGCATCATTACTCATTCTTCTCTCTTCATCTTCAATGTTATTTACTTCTAATATCACATCGTTTTCTCCCTCTTCTCTAATCATTTCTCTTCTTTTAATTATTCTTCATTTGTATAAAAGAAATTTGTAAAAATAATTGGTCAATCACATTTTTCTTTCTCTTGGGGAATACTATTACCCCATCCTCGTCTCTCTCCTCTATTCCCTTCCCATTCTTAATTATTTTCTCTTCTTTCTACTTCCACATCATCTTATTTTCCTTTCATTCTTCTCCAAAGGAATTAAACCACATGATATGTCTCCATTAATTAGTGTCATAAAGTTGCGGCTTGTCTTAGCATGCAAGAATTTAAATCCAAGATTCTACTTCCTAACAAAGAGCAAAAATCAAAACCGGGTGAGCGTGGTACCGCATGGTACGGTATTTAGCTCGTACCGATATCGTACCAAATATTTCGGTTCGGTATGTGTTAAAATATAAATAACTCATCTTGGGCCACTACCACAAGCTTGAGCTTTTGGTTGAATCGGTTCCTTTACATGGTATCGGAGCAAGTTTTGAATTCTTGAGACCTCAAACACGCTTCTTACCCTGCCGGTGGGCATACACAATTCAATGTCTATCGACAGGATATTATAATTTTTGATTTTCTTTGATTGTTCTCCCTCACTAAAAAAATGTCATGAACTCCTTCAACAAAGAACATTGTTGTCGAGGTATCCCGCCTGATGGTGTAAATTACCACGCAAATATTAAGTGTGAGTAATCGGAAGGGTTGTAGGTGGAATCACCTGTAACCCGATTTGTTATTAATGATAATAGGAGTTATTACAAATACAAGCCGTGTAGGTTAATTCAAACATGCCTCACAAATGAGGCTTTTAAGGGTATTTATAATAATCTTAAGCACGTCAAGCACGTCTCTGATTATCCAACCGGTCAGGCGGCTGACCGGCCCACCAGGTGCACTTTGAAAGTAGATCTTCGGGTATTGGCGTCTGGTCTCCCCATCCAACCGGTCAAATAACCCGGGCTGAAAAAGACGCGTGCTGTTCGGTGAACCAACCGGGTGGTATCCTTGGGTTATTACCCATCACCGCCCAACCATCAATCTTGAAGAAGTTGTCCGAGAAGGATTGTTCTACAAAGATAGACAACTCTTTCCTTTGCAAGCAATAAAAAATTCGTCGTTCAAGGTGTTCGAAAAGAATGGTGTTCCCCCTGTTTGTTCGAATACGGTGAAGGTTCGAGAAGAATGGCGTTCCTTTACTCGACTGATTATTGGCGGATTCGAAAAGCTTGGCGTCTCCGTTAAAGAAAAAACTGAAGTGTCTAGATGACACTTGGACAACGATGGCAGCGGCTTCCTCAAGCTTTGTTGCTTTATTCAATCTTTTGATGTTCAAGCTGGGCATGTTGAACTCCCATGCTCCAGCTTGAGGGGAGTGTTGGAGATAGAAGAAGGAAGTCGGATCAAAGAAGGAAACGGAATCCCTTTGGGATTCGGTTTAGTATCTTTCCTAGTTTGCTTAGTTCTTGTTATAGTAGGAATAGAAATATGGTAAAAATAAAAGTTTACTTATATGCTTTACTCTTTTCCTATATAAAGAGGGTTAGACATTTGTATTCAAAAGCCAATTCAATATACGAACTATTTTTTCTCTTATTAATTTCTACATGGTATTGGAGCCTCGTTGACTAAGAGATCACGGGTTCGAAACTCTGCGCCACCTAGTTTAAAAAAAATTAAGGTTTCATGTGCAAGGCTCGAAAAAAACTACGCCTGCACGTGAGGGGGCGTGTTAGAATATAAATAACTCATCTTGGGCCACTACCACAAGCTTGAGCTTTTGGTTGAGTTGGTTCCTTGACATGGGATTTTACGTTGTACCGATACTGATCCCAAGGCATCGGTTCGGTATCGGTTTCGGTACAAATCCGGATGAATATATACGTACCTAGTTTATATCATAAAATGTAAAAAAACCTTTTATTTTTGAAAAACCAAAAGTACATTTAATCAAAGAAAGATAAAAAATTTAAAAATGAAAAAATAAAATGCAAAAAATGCTTATGAAAGTTAGTTTGTACTTCACAAACTTAAGAGAGAGTGATAACAAAGTATTATTTCAAATATTTGTTAATATTCTCATACTCATCTACAAAAAATAAAAACACTCTTATTAAAGTGCAACTTAAATATAATGAATTTAAACTAAATTGTCTATATAAATTTTATATTTAATGAAAAAATATAAAAAGATTACTATTTTTGTAATATATAAGTATATATGTTCGGTTCGGGAATTTCGGTATGAGAAGTAACTCGTACCGTTCCCAAATGCCGGACTGACCGTTCGGTTCGGTACGGTTCGGTTTCTTTTCAGTACTTTATCAGTTCGGTATTTTTCGGTTCGGTATTCTCGGTTTTTTCGGGAAATATCGGGATCGGTTCGGTCCTTGCTCACCCCTACAAAACCCCAACTGAGCTCTATGTGTTAGGCACAATAATACTAGCTCCATATACTCCCTCCGCCCCCTATTGAATACCACACTTCAAACAACCTGTAAAATTCAATCGTTTTTAAAATTATTTTAATTACAAATTAGCATAAAAATAAAAAGTATAACTTACCGCATTTAAAAGTACATAAAAAAACTTTATAAAGCAAAATGTGAATATAATATTTTATTTTATCAAATTATTAATGAAAAAATACAAACAAAAAAAGTTATCGAGAAATCGTAACAGTGACAGTAACATCTAATTCATGATGGAGGGAGTATATTTATAGTAGTGTAGAGACGGACTTTGAAATAGAGTATCTTTTTCCACAATCTCTAAAGAAAACTCATGGGTAATGATTTGACTTGATTTTTTGAAGATCTGGAACGATCAGATTAACTCTAATCTGATTAGATCTGATCTAGTCAGATCAAATCTGACTGTAGTTATACTCACTCTGTCAAACAATAAATTTCTCATTTTGAACAATGTGTAAAATCCCATCTTTTTTAAAATTACTTTATTTACAAATTAGTATATCATAAAAAAATCCAAACTACATTGTTTAAAACTACATTTAAAATTCTAGAAATAAACTGTGACAATAATATTTTATCTTACCAAGTGATTGATGAAATTATACAAACAAACATAAATTATTGAGAGTCCGTAATTGTAGCTGAGATGTTTATTGTTAGACAAAAAAATTATTTAAAATTGTTTCTGATCTCATTTTAATAAAAGTAAGTAATAAGCAAAAAAATAAGTTGAACATAACAAACCCTTAGCAAAAAATTGAATTTTTAGATTTTATACTAGATGGAAAGTGTACAGATTTTTAATTGAGCTTTTTTGGAAATTAAAAAAGTTTGGCTGAAATCCATATCCAATTTTTTTTGGATCCCCAAACATTTATTTTGAGTCAAATCTAAATTTGAAATTTGAATCTTAGTTCTCAAACATGCCAATAATGAATTTGAGACTTTGTGCAATTAATTAATTTTTTGAACATTTTGCTCCTTGTAGTATATGAATCCTTTGTCTCAATTTAAATTGTTCATTCCAATTTACAATGTTGATTTAAATTATTTTCAATTGAAATTGGTGTAAAAATCTATTTCAAGTAATGTAACCTTCTGATTTTTCGGGATTGGTGTAGTTGCACCACACACAAACACACAAATTATATATATATATATATATATATATATATATATATATATATATATATATATCAAAATAAAGTTACTCTTTTACTTGCGTGTAAAGGAAAAGAATACAATGTGACATAACATTTTCTCTTTCTAACACTTTTTCTTAAACACTGTGAATATTGAACACTGTGAATATTGAACAGACACCCTACTATTTTTTCTCTCGGACACTTTTCTTGAACACTGAAACACAATTGATAGAGTGCCAAGAGTGGAGAAATTCGTTATATAGAATAGATATAGAGACAGACAGCAAAAAAACAGAAAAGAAGAAACTTGGAATCAAAGTTAAACACTAAGTACAGTCTATTAAGGAAGAAGCTAAGTTATACCCCAAAAACAGCAGACATTAATGGTAAGATCTGGTCTGTGACCTCCCTCAAGTATCAATGTGAAGCAGAAGAAACCTCAATATTCCTTTTTTTTCACAAAGATTAAGGTTTCTCTCTTCTCTTAAATTCTCCCAAGAAATGAAGAACAAGAAGAAGAAGAAGAAGAAGCCAAACACCTCCCAAGATGTCACCTCTTCCAAACTTTCTGAACTTTAATCACATCAGGTCCCCTCCCCATTTTAACCCTCCCAGGCTCATTCCTTCTCATCCAGTAGCTGCCTCAAACTTGTTTTTTTCGAGTTCTAAACACTTTGAATGCCCCTCCTCTCACTCCCCTCCACTCACTTTGAATCAGGTATGTGTTCTGCAATTAGTTAGGAGGGTGTATTCAATTAAGATTTTAAAACATTTTGATAGATTATTTAGAATCTATGGATTATGTAAAATCCATGAATTGTTTTAATTCTACGTAGAGTTTGATAGATTTTATGAGTAGGATTCTAAAAGATTTGCCAAATTGTTAAAATCCATGAATTTCCTGGGAAAAAAAACAATTTTCTTCGGAAAGTGTTTTTCATGAAGATGAATTTTCTTACCAGATTTTCTTTCGTTTGGTGTAAAAAAAATGAAAAAAATATGGTACAAACTACAAAAAAGTGGAAGGGGAAAAGCCAGTTTCCTCTCCAACAATAATGGAAATCACTTTCCTGCCAAACAATATGGAAAATTGGTAAAAGGGTTTTTTTTCTAGAAATCATTTTGCCCAACCAAACGGTACCTTAGTGTGGAGGAGTGTATTGATTAACAAACCTGAAACTGGCATGTGGATGCAGAGTGTGGCAGCCATAGTGTTCGGAGATGGGCCACATTGGGGGCTATATCCACTGACTAAGAGAAGATCAGAAGCTGCACTTCCCATTGCAGGGAACTATAGGCTTGTAGATGCTGTAATGAGCAACTGCATTAACAGCAACATTACCAAGATATATGCACTCACACAGTTCAACTCCACTTCTTTGAATTCCCACCTTTTAAGAGCTTATTCCCGTGCCCGGATCGGGAAAGACGGATTCGTCGAAGTCGTGGCCGCCTACCAGAGTCCCGAAGGCAAGGGCTGGTTCCAGGTTCAAAATGTCTCTCATTTCTTTTCTTTTTGGGCGTTTTGCTTCTGTTGTTCCCTCCCTTTTGAAGCTCTATAAGCAAAAGCAGCGGCAAAAACTGCTACAATCCCAACCCTATTGGAGTATAGAGTTCGAGATATACGCCACCTTACCCCTGTACAAGAAAAAAGTGTTTCCATTGTTTCATAGAAAGTAAGTGAAGGAGTCATTATGATTTGGTCCATTGTTTACCCAAAGCTAAAACATAGTCACTGAACTTACCCCCGTAAAACCAAAGAGATTGTTTCTGTAAACCTTAGATTCATTGCTGCATTCCAAAACTCCAAAGAGTAAAAAGCAAGGAAAGTTTAATGTGTCATTTTTTTATTTAGTCCATTATGTGCCCAAATCTAAAACAACGTCAATGATGACTCTTTTAGCTCCATTAGCAACGGATGGATATGCTCTTATGATCATGAATGGATAAATAAGGCAATGAAAGTTCATCTCTAATATGGTTGGTATATGAAATATAGGGAACTGCAGATGCCATAAGGAGATGTTTGTGGATATTGGAGGAGTATCCAGTCGTCGAGCTTCTCGTTCTTCCCGGCTACCATCTATACAAAATGGACTACCAAAAACTGATTGAGGCTCACAGAAATAGCAATGCAGATATCACTGTTGCTGTCTCCACTAGTACTACACCTAGGGACAGTACTCGAGATTCAGATCTTGGATATTTCCATGTAAATACTGAAAACCGAGTCACAAGCTTTAGTGATAAACCAGAAACCAAAGTATGTTGTTTCTCCATCTATATTTCTTTGCCTGCTACTAAATAATCTATTTTCATACCATCAATTATTTTCCTTGAAATTAAAAGATGAGAGCTTTTTTACCATCTATGCCGAAAAGTCAAAAAAATTCAACAGTGTGAGTGGGTGCTGCCATTGGGTGATTCACAATGTGTGTGTGTGTGTGTGTGTTTAAAGTAATCGCAGCACTACTCACGAAAAATGTTAAAAGTATCTTTTTTCCTCATTCTACCATTGTTTGCTGTTATTTAGCAAATGTTTCAAAAACATTGGGGATCATTTTATAATTGGACATTACCACAGGGAGTGTATAAGCAGACCTTACCCCAGCTAAACCCCCTTTTTTTTAAAAAAAAACATCTATATAGAATTTTGTAGTGTGTGTGTGTAAATGAATAATGCAATGGAAAAAAATTATGGGCCACATTATATTTGTTGGACAGGGCACCCCAAATCCCAGTACAGACGACACTGATGGCAGCTTTCCTAGCATGGGAATCTTTGTGATTAGCAGAGACACAATGATAAAGTTGCTCACAGAATATTTACCAATGGCCAATGACTTGAGAAGTGAGGTTATACCAGTTGCAGTTTCCTTGGATATGAAGGCAAGCACGAACTAGCTTCATGCATGTCTTTCATTCATAAACTTACTTGGATGAAGAAAAAAAAAGAAATAATTTATTTCTTCTCCAATTCCCTGCAGGTTAACGCATATAAATTCAATGGATATTGGGAGGACATGAGGAATATCGAAGCATACTATCGTGCAAATTTGGAGAGCACCAAGAAAACCAGCATGGCATACAAGTGAGTAGCTTCGAACATTGCTAGCTATAATCAATGCTTAGCCCTGATTGAATAAGTGATTAACACCGCCTAGGTGCTATGCTTTATCATCATCATCATCATTATTACTCCACATTATTATTATTAGTATTATTAGTGTTTCTTTGCCTCTTGGCTTTTTTCCATCTTAGGTCCTGTCTCATTTCGCTTAGATAACACGTGATAGATGGTAGTATACAAGAATAAATCGAAATGCTTCACTTTCACACAAATATCTCATCATTAATATAGCAAGGCCCTTTAATAAATAATGAGGTCAGCTAATACATATATTGGTCTTGCATCTTTTTGGTCGCAGCTTCAATGATACAGATTCTCCTCTCTACACTTTACCTCACCATCTCCCTCCAAGCATCATAACAGATTCTGTTATAACCGACTCTGCCATTGGAGGCGGCTGTATTCTCAATGTAAGAATTTCAGTGTACAATGGCTTCATGGTTGGGCAAGACCAAAATGTAATACTACGTATTATATAAATTTAAAAGTATTACATTTAAAAACAATGATTTTCCAAAATGCATTTCTTCCCATTTTTAAAATATTACTCCATCCGTCCCAATTTTGTTGTTCACATAATCACGTTCCATTTTGAGACATCAAGAATTTTACTTTTTCATTTATTTTCCCTACAAAACTCCCATGTCCCAAACTTAGTAGGACGGAGGGGGCATGATACCTCCTCTGCCCTTGTTTACTTTTTTGGTACGTCCAAATTTGGTGTGCCTGTTTTTCATTTATAACCAACAGTATATGGTTCATAGTGTTTCTTTCTCCTCGACGTAAGTCAAACAACTAATATTGGACAAACATGGCAAAATCTTATGGCACCTGAAATGTGAGGGCAAGCCATAAGCCCTATTAGTATTAAGTTTTTAAGCAAGCCAAATATTTGACCTTTTGGATCAAAAGTTGATTCAATAAGTCATTTACCAAACATATATAATAGCTTCTATGATCTGTGAAACAAAAAAATGGATGGTACCAAAAATGGCTAATCATCAATATACCAAATATAGCTTTGTCTTACAAAATCGATTGTTTTCTTGAATATATTAAACAAAACAAAAAACAAACCCTGCAGAGGTGCAATATCAAAGGCACAGTGGTAGGGATGAGGACAAGAGTGGGAGAAGGTGCGGTGCTTGAAGATTCAATTGTTCTTGGGTCAGACAAATATGAGGTAAGACAAACACACAAAAACTCCATATGTTCCAGAAGAAGTGTAGCCATTTAAGTTTGTGCATGTGCGTGGTACAGATGGTTGCCATGGAAGATGATGTTTTTCGCATCCCAGTTGGGATCGGGGAATGCTCGCGCATAAAGAAGGCCATACTCGACAAGAATGTGAGGATTGGCAAAAATGTCAAGGTACAACTTCGTATGGCTATTGTTTAATGAAATGTGGTTGTTGGAGAAAACCTAACAGCTATTGATTAAAAGCTTAAAGTAAATACCAGGTCAGGTGTTGGGGATGCACTGAAAGCGTTGATATAGCTCAAAACGCTCCCAAGACACATGGCTAAAGAATCTACACCTCACGTTTTATGATTTGGGCATGTTTCTATAGAAACACTTAAAAATTGAGTTTTATCAAATTGTAATCCAAACAGTTAATTGAAACAACATTTTGAGAGTAAAATCTTTTCTAACAATGAAGAATGTTTTCATAGAAACATTTCCCACACAAAGCGTTCTTGATGAGAAAAGAGTTTTCATTTGTTGCAGATAGTGAATAGGGACAATGTGGAGGAGGGGAACAATGAAGCAAAGGGATACATTATTAGCAAAGGGATAGTAGTGATCTTGAGAGGTGCAGTAATCCCAGATGGAAGCATTATTTGACGGACACACAGAAAAAAAAAAATCATGTCCCTCGATGATGCAATTCTCTCCTTTTTTTAGTCCACCATTCTTGATTCTAGCAAAAAATGTATACGATTTGTGCCATGAAATTCAAAATATGCAATTATCTAATTTACATATGTCATGAAATTCATTGTAATTTTGCGACATAAGAACAGAAAGCAAAAGGAGATTCTTGAAAATGCCTAAAACTTTTTCTCCCGCATAATAGTCAAAAGCACTTACCTAATAAACTCAGCATATGAAAGTGTATCGAACAATCCTTCCGCAATTTTACGCCGCTGCCTCAGTCCGCCGTCGGTCTTCAAGCCGCCGTCCTTCCTGTTAGTTACACGTCCCATGTTTGTCAACTTAGTTTTGAAGCACTATCCAATGCACTTCTTTAATCCATTTTATCTTGTAATTTGTATATTAAAAACTATCCAATGCACTTCTTTAATCCATTTTATCTTGTAATTTGTATATTAAAAAATTATACAAATTATATATTAATAATTCATATGTTAAGACGAATCAAAAAAGATCACACATGACCGACTATTTTTAGACTTACACATTAAGAGAATTTGATGAGTCAAAGTGCTTAGATGAACAGTTCCAAATGTCAAATGTGGACAAAGACAATGGGACGGAGGTAGTACTATATAGTGTATGCAGTACCAAGAGTCTGGGTAGTCCGGGGTATTGTATTTTGATTAGTTGGCCTTATCCTTTTGACAAAAACAAACAGTAGGAATGAGGTGTTTGGTTGGCTTGGGATTGGAGAAAATACTTCTCAAAAGAGCAGGAAGGTCTGCTATCCAAATGCGTGAAGTTGGTGTAATCAGCCGAAGTGAATGATACAAACAGAGTTTGTTATCAAAGTCATCCGTAAGTTGGTTAAAGAGCAGGAAGGTATTCGAACCCAGGTTTGCTCAGTAAAGAGTGTTAAACTACTTTAACCGTTTCTTGCAATCAGCATAATCCATTGCTACAACGGAGCTTTTTGATTCATCGACGTAACCAAACTTTGTAATACGTTTTGCAACTCAACTTTAATAATGCCAAATTTGAGGTTAGCAAAATCCTACGGCAAAATTCTTACAAAACAAGGAGTAAAAATAATATTTTATTTTATCAAAAAAAATTATGAAAACATACAAATAAATAAAAATCATCGAAGAAAAAATTGTATTTGATAATTAATTTCAAGATGAAGGGAGTATACACTTCGTCCTTTTACATTTTACAAGTTACTATTTATAAAATCAAATTTTGTTTACTTTTTTTTAACCTATTTTCATTAATTATTTGATAAAATAAAATAGTATTTTCATTACTTACTTTGAAGATTTTTTTAATTAATTTTTAAATGTGTAATTTTTTTTTTATTTTTACACCAATATTCATATAAACTCAATTGTAAAAAACGCAGGGATTCCCATGACATTAAATCTCATGTCATGGGATAACCCGGGAGCGCTCTGGTATCTCTTTCGTAAAATTGGTGATTCCCACNCCCCCCCCCCCCCACACACACCAACCCAAACACACCCCCACTCCTTTTATACCTCATTCGATTGCACCCTCCAAGTTGATTTTGAAGAGGTTGGGGGTGTGTTCGGATCGGGATGAGATGTGGGTTAGAGAAGATAGGTATTGTCATTTTACCCAGTAATTAATTTCAGGTAGAAGGAGTATGTGCTTCGTTCTTTTAGATTCCTCCAAGTTACTGTTCATAGGGTCAAATTTTGTTTACTTTCTTTACCTATTTTCATTAATTATTTGATAAAATAAATTAGTATTATCATTATAACAATAAAGACTAAAAACTTAATAAGTTGTATACAAGGACTAAATATGGAAACCAAATAAATTATAAAGAGCTATGTAAAGAATTTACTCTTTTAAAACTATATCACACTTATCACATTAAAAACTACAAAAAAATTACAAACACTTGCAAATATCTATTCAAACATTAGAATTACTTGTTAAAATTGAGGAAGTGCATAGAGTTTCTCACATAATAAAAAATCAATGTGACCTCATAATTGTTCATAATAAAAAATAAAAGTCCAAGAAGTCAAGTCAATTTTTAATTAAAGTCCCAAACATTATTTCTAAACTTCAACTTGCATCTTTAAAATTAAAATCCTTCCGTACTAAATTTTTGCGCGCCTCATTAAATGGTTTTACTCTCACCTAAAATATCTAAAATATACCC